TTTAACACGACCTAAAGGTCCCTACACAGGAGAGGACTTTAGAGCCAAAACTATTGACAGATAAACTTTACTAACACGTTTAGAGGAAATAGTCTCACGCCTGGGGTTTTGAATTACTCAAACAATGCTTCCTTAAACACTTTTATTTTCTCAGCAATGCTGGAGTTTGTATGGTAGGCATGTGATTTTTGAAATGGGAATCTGCAGAAACAATTTCAGAAAGGAAAATAATAAGTACAATCTTGTATGAAAGAAAATGCTATTGCCTTGTCTCATAAGCTCTCCTAAACCCCAATACCAAACATTAAGCGATCAGACACATGTTCACCTAGCAAACAGCTTCCATTTAAGAATTTACCAAGCCTCCTCAGTAGCAATTTACTACTACAAAGTTCACTGGTTTATTTAAGCTGCTGCTGGAGGAGGAACTGAAGTGGCTGATGAATGTTCACTAGTACCACCCAACCCACTTTCCAGATAGGGGCAATCTGCCTCAAGAGGCAGGTAAAATCTTAACCCGTATCACCTATTGGAAAAGTTAACCGGCATCTTCATTCTAAGGATTACTGCTGCCCTAGTGATTAAAACTGTCTCTGAGGCATCATGGCTTATCTCTGTTTCAAGACGATACTGAGTTGGTGCTTCAAAGTAATTCTGTTTATGTACAATGAGTGAGGATGCATTGCTCTTTTTCTGAACACTCCTGGAATAAGCTGGTTTCCTTGCACAGTAGTATAACAAACCTGTCTTCCCAGCTACTGATGTTTCTCCCTGTAAACTCTCCCTCCTCCACCTCCCATCAGCCTCATGTGACAATATGGTTACCAAAAATCCTTTGTGCTTTTACTTTTTGAGCTGCTTTCTGCTTACTTTCTGAGACTCCAGAGAGATGTGCTAATCTTGATCCCGGGGGGTTTATGTGAGCAATCCCCACTTGCTTAGCTCAGGCCATCAATGCAAACCACAGGAGCTGGCTCAACAGAGCTGTCACAAATTGTTCTGCTGACAAATTTGTGCAGAGAGCAATATCCAAACAGGAATGTATCAGAAGCTGTCATTGATGGCAAAGAAAGGAAATTCAGAAGGGCTGTCTGCCCACAGCTTGACAGATACAACCTCCAAATAATACTCTAGGCCTTACGCTTGCTTCTACTTCCCAGAGGAGAAAAGAAACACATTCTTTTGAGATGCCTAATGCTGCCCCTTTCTCCTATATTCTTTAATACAGGTCACCACGATAAGTGCACAGAGAGCTATAAGGGTGGACAAAAAGCTACTTCAGTTGGCCCTCCCATAGCGAGGAAGCACGATAACTACACTTTTGCCTTTCACATGACCACATCTCAGACCTCCTTGTCACTGGTATTACTGAACACTGAAGTCAAATACCCCTGCAGTTAGCCAAAGGAGCAAGGGCTCCCATCAGCTGCAGCCAGCTTGGAGATTGCATATAAATTTAAGATATGAAGAGTGGCAATTTCCAACATTCCCCATCCCCATAAATACTGTGCATTGAAACAAAACTTTTTTATTGTAATATCTGTCTTTTTCAAGATGTCTTGCACAGTATTTTAAACGGCAATCATTTCAACTGCTGTCAGAGTCTTTTGTGCTGATATCCTAAAAATCTCATAAGATAAAAATTGAATTTGAAAACTCTACTTCGAAACTAGTTTGAAGTCCTATTCTTGTGTCCATACCAGTATGACTATTTAATTCTTACTTGCGCATAGTTATTTGTGTTTACATTTATATAAGGTATACACAAATACTCTTTGCAAGAAAAATCTATCATATGTCAAGAAATGATTCATAGCTGATATATAATTAAGGAGAGAAAGGAATGAGCAGTACATTGAAGTTTACTTACAAAACCTCTTACTGAAGTTTACACATAAGCAATACCAATACCAAAAGCATTAAGCCTGATTAACGACTTCCTCTTCCACATGAACTCGAGAGCTTCTCTGAATGTTCGTTGCTTCTGCTGTATTTTTGAAAGCACTTGATTAATCTTAGAAGTAAACCACTAAAACAATAGTTCCATTGACTACTCTTTGATCTAATAAAATAACTTAATCATGAAAATAACATACCAGCTAAAGTTGACAATTCAATAATTCTCCTGCTCTTTAAGGTTAAGGGGGAGACTTTGCTCATTCTGTAATTATTGAACAAGCCACTTTATTTATTTATTTTTTATTTTAAGCAAGAGAAACTGTTCTGAGATTTCTGGACTTTTGCACTCCAAAATCCTCCAGTGTATTTCCAGTTTCTGGAAATCCTCCTTTTCTTTAACTCAGTTCACTCACTAAAACTATTCTGAATGATTTCATCTCTTTTTAAATATTTTTCACTTCCTGGTTTCTGAAGAAAACTCTGAATAAAATATTTGAATTAAAATAGTCACCCATAAATATATAAACAGGGTTATATATCTCATAATCTCACCTTAAGCCTAAATTTTTAGCGTAAATTAAGGTGCCAGTAAAATTCACTATGGTTCCTTTCACTTGATTTGCCATGGTGCTTGCAGTATATGACCTATTTATTTTTCTCTGAGTACTTTCTCTGCATACTAGTGGATAAATAAAGGAGAACAGTTTCAACTCATGGCTATCTCTCCCAGACATTTTATTAGACGCTTACTAAATATTCAACCATAATATACATGGTAATGTCAGTGGTTAAGAGATGAAAGCCTACATTACTTCACTCAGGAAATGAAGTGCAGGTTTCAGTCCTTTCATTGCAATATCCTTTAGAACATGAAACATAAATGTTTTTGCAGAGGATTGTTCAACAAGCAAGTGATGCAATGGCTTACAGAGCTAAGCTACTGTATGATTTTTAAGGCCACAGGGTTAATACATAGTGATAAACCATTCAGTTATAATTGTAGCTTTCATGGGCTTTATGCCAGTTAAATTGAGCACTCTGAATATTACTTCACAGTTAAAACCTACTCTGTTATCTAACAGACATTTGAATTTTCACTCCCCTGAAAACTAGCTGCTTCACCACTTATGAAGTTATATTATCCCGAGGCAAAATCAAATCCACAATTAACACCAATAAATTTAAACTAAACATAATGGGGACTAAATTAGGAAACTTCAAGAAGGTTGTACAGAAAGAAAAGCAGTATCCCCTGGAAGGAACTGTATGAAAAAAAAAAAAAAAGAAAAAAAGATGTAAAAAGGGTGATTTCTCCAACTATATCAGTTTTATTTTGTGTTTTCCACAATGTAAATCATATTAATACATTGGAAACTAATTTCAAGGTTGTGCTTTTTAGACCTCCAAAGAACAGAATTCTTTACAGTCTGAAACTCTTAGATAATAATAGGAAGAGGATCTGTGAAACCATTTTTGGATTTTCTACACAACATGGCAGAGGACTGAATAACAGTAGTTCTCATTTCTTGCTCTAAAAACCTGGTATAAATTAAGATGTCACTAGTTTTTCCACATGGAAAGCTAACCCACAATCAAAACAAATGTAATTTGAAATATTCCAGAACTAAAGCATGAACAAACAACAATGTTGCAGATACCTATTTTGTATTTTAATTACTTTAAACAAAGAGATAAGAACTGTAAGGATCAAAAATAGTGTAAGATGGTCAAATTATCCAAAACCAAAGTAAAATACCTCTGAGAGCTATGATTTTCACACTAGTGTAAGGGGGAAAAAAATACTAATTTCTGCCTAAGTTAACATGTGTAAGGCAGCAACAGAACCACACTTACTAATTTCTATATAAAGTAATTTCTATGTATTTAAGTAACAGCATCTTTTCAAAAAGTATCCAACCTCGATTCAGAGAATTCAAATGACTGAAAATCTGGCTACCTATTGTAACAAACTGTTCCAAAGATTAGTCCTCAGTTAGAGAGCATCAATCTAAGAGTAAACTTTGGCTCCTAACCACTGTACCTTGTTATCCTTCTTTTTTTCCTTCAGGGACCTGGACAGACTGGACAACCAGGCGGTGAAAAACCTCATGCAATTCAACAAGGCCAAGTGCAAGGTCTTGCACCTGGGGAGGAATAACCCCAGACACCAGTACAGGCTGGGAACCAGCCTTCTGGAGAGCAGCTCTGCAGAGAGAGACCTGGGTGTCATGGTGGACGACAAGTTGACCATGAGGCAGCAGTGTGCCCTCGTGGCCAAGAAGGCCAATGGGATCCT